AATATTTTGGTCTGGCTGCCAAAGAAAGATGGTCAAGATCATACTTAAGGTTTAAGGGCTTACTGTACACCTGGCTTTGTTCTAAGCATTTTACTTTTATTAAAGCACCAGTTTGAGTGAGGTGGCTCATGTCTGTAATTCTAGCACTTTGGGAGGCCAAGGTGTGAGGACCACTTGAGGCCAAGAGTTTAAGAACAGCAGCGAAACATAGTGAGAAGCCGTCTCTACAGAAAATTAAAGAATTAGCTGGATGTGGTGGTGCGCCCCTGCATCCCCAGCTACTCGGGAGGCTGAGGTGAGGGAATCCCTTGAGCCCAAAGGTTCAAGGTTGCAGTAAGCTATGACTGTGCTACTGTACTCCAGCCTGGACAACAGAGTGAGACCAAAGTATCTATTCTCCCTAAAAACAAAACAAAATGAAAACCCAAAACCCCCACAAATATTGTTACTTTGACCTTCATAAAAAAAGTATCTCCTTTATTAAGTAGATAAAATTATTATCCCCAATGTACAGATGAGGAAACTGAGGCACAGAAGTTAATAATTTATTCAAAGCCGCCAGACGTAGTGGCTCACGCCTGTAATCCCAGCACTTTGGAGGCTGAGGGAGGCGGATCACAAGGTCAAGAGATTGAGACCATCCTGGCCAACTTGATAAAATCCCATCTCTACTAAAAATACAAATATTAGCTGGATGTGGTGGTGTGTGCCTGTAATCCCAGCTACTTGGGAGGCTGAGGCAGGAGAATCGCTTGAACCCAGGAGGCAGAGGTTGCAGTGAGCTGAGATTGCTCCACTCTACTCCAGCCTGGTGACAGAGTGAGACTCTGTCTAGAAGAAAAAAAAAGTGTTCGAAGCCATGAAAATAAGTCTTGAAAAGCTGGGGATAGTGGCTCAATATTATAATCCCTGAACTTTGTGAGGCCAAGGAAGGAGGATCACTGAAGCCCAGGAGTTCAAGACCAGCCTGGGCAACAAAGTGAGACCCCCTCTCTTTTTTTTTTTGGAGACGGAGTCTTGCTCTGCTACCCAGGCTGGATTGCAGTGGCATGATCCCGGCTCATTGCAATGTCCGCGTCCAGGGTCCAAGCAATTCTCCCACCTCAGCCTCCTGAGCAGCCGAGACCACAGGCATGCGCAACCACAGCTGGCCGACCTCTGCATTCCCAGTAGAGATGGCTTCACCACGTTGGCCAGGCTGGTCTCGAACTCCTGACCTCAGGTGATCCACCCACCTCGGCCTCCAAGTGCTGGGACCACAGGCCTGAGCCACTATGCTCTCTTTTATTTTTTTGAGATGCAGTCTCACTCTGTTGCTCAGGCTGAAGTGCAGTGGCACGATCTCAGCTCACTGCAACTTAAATCTCCTGGGTTCAAGCGATTCTTGTGCCTCAGCCTCCTGAACAGCTGGGATTACAGGTACTGGCCACCATGCCCAACTAATTTTTGTTATTTTTAGTAGAGATGGGGTTTCACTATGTTTGCCAGGCTGGTCTTGAACTCCTGACATCAGGTGATCCACCTGCTTTGGCCTCCCAAAGTGCTGGGATTACAGGTGTGAGCCACCACGCCTGGTCATTATTTTTACTTTTTAAATGACAGGGTTTCATTATGTTGCCCAGGCTGGCCTTGAACTCCTGGCCTCAAGCAATCCTCCTGCCTCAGAGTCCCAAGTAGCTGGGACTACAGGCATAAGCCACCCAACTACTGTTATTTTTAACTGCTAATACAACTAATAAGTACCACTACATGCCTCTCACGAACCAAGTGCTTTATATTATCACATTCATCTCACAACAGTCCTGTGGGGCAGAGGCCATTATCTCTGCTTTATGAATGAGGAGACTGAGGCTCAGGGAGGTTACAGAACTTTTGCTGGGTAGCTGTCAAGTGGAGATTTGAACTTGGGGTGTCTGGCTTCAAAGCCCAAGTAATTTCCACTATACTCTGCTGCCTTCCTCTAAAAAATAACAGCTACCAGCTTTATAGAGGATTTGGCAAGCCTTATCTTAATCTCCTATATTTATACAGGGATTTGTCATTTTTATAAGGTGCTTTTGATCCTGATTAAAAAAAATTTTTTTTTTTCTTTTGGGACGGAGTTTCACTCATGTTACCCAGGCTGGAGTGCAATGGTGCGATCTCGGCTCACTGCAACCTCCGCCTCCTGGGTTCAGGCAATTCTCCTGCCTCAGCCTCCTGAGTAGCTGGGATTACAGGCACGCACCACCATGCCCAGCTAATTTTTTGTATTTTTAGTAGAGACGGGGTTTCACCATGTTGACCAGGATGGTCTCGATCTCTTGACCTCGTGATCCACCCGCCTCGGCCTCCCAAAGTGCTGGGATTACAGGCTTGAGCCACCGCGCCCGGCCCATTTTTTTTTTTTTTTATATAGAGACAAGGTCTTGCTACATTGCCCTGGCTGGTCTCAAACTCCTGGCTTCAAGTGATCTTCCTGCCTTGGACTCCCAAAATTTTGAGCTTACAGGTGTAAGCAACCTGGCCTCAATCCTGTGTTTTCATTAGCCCACCCAAGAAACCCAAACTAGGGCAGGATGAAGTTATGTATCTCATTTCATAGATGAGAAAACTAAGGCTCAGGGTGCTAAGGGACTTGTCCAAGGTGACACGCCAACTATGTGCTAGAAGATAATAATAATTTTTTTTTTTTTTTTTGAGACAGAGTCTTGCTCTGTTGCCCAGGCTGGAGTGCAGTGGCATGATATCAGCTCACTGCAACCTCTACCTCCCGGGTTGAATCAGTTCTCCTGCCTCAGCTTCCTGGGTATCTGGGTTACAGGCAACTGCCACCACACCCAGCTAATTTTCGTATTTTTAGTAGAGATGGGGTTTCACCATGTTAGCTAGGCTGGTCTCGAACTCCTGACCTCAAGTGATCTGCTTGTCTTGGCTTCCCAAAGTGCTGAGATTACAAGTGTGAGCCACCATGCTCAGCCTGGAAGATCTACCCTGAATTCTGATCTTCCAACTCCTAAGCTTTTCCCACTGGTCTAAGGATGCCTTGCTATCATGTCAGTCACCAAGGAATCCCCTCAAGTGTGGCTCAGTGTCACCAGGATGAGTGTCTTCACCAGGAGGTATGTACAAGGCTCTCTCTCAACATGGGAAGAGGTGGCTGCTGACTGCTGATAGGCAATTTCCCTTGTACCTCTAGTGTCTTCTTCAGAGTGGAGATGTTTTCACTGCAGACTTCCACATTGTTCAGAGTCACCTGGGAGATGAGGAAGGAAGAATGTGACTTCCTGCTGACTGTGCCTGCTACCCACTCCAATGCCAGACTGGCTGACAGCTGTGCTCCACAAGGATTAGAGAAGGACTGGCTGGAGTTTAGACTTCAGCTAATGAAAGGCCACACCTCTGCATCAGGCAGGACACTCAGATCTTGGATCAGGCAGAATGGGGAACCAGGCTTGCCCTTTCTGGTTGCCTGATGCCAGGGAGCCTAAAGTCATGGTCTTTAGGTCTTTTTGTACTGTTACCTACAGATCAGAAATGACTCAGGCATACAGGTCTGGGATAAGTTCTGAGGCTCCAAATGGCCAAGCCCCAAATCAGTGATACAAAGCCTGACATTCATTAGAGAAAAACTTCCAGAGATCCTGCCACCTATGAGGCATTTTCTCATTCTTTATCTCATGGAATCTACCAAATATCCCCCACAGAACAACCATTAACAAGCCCAGTGCATGGGAGGAAATGAGACTCCTCATTTCTTCAGAAGGCAAATGATTTGGCCAGGTGTGGTGGCTCACGCCTATAATCCCAGCACTTTGGGAGGCCGAGGTGGGTGGATCACCTGAGGTCAGGTGTTCAAGACCAGCCTGGCCAACATGGTGAAACCCTGTCTCTACTAAAAATACAAAAAAAGTAGCCAGGCATGGTGATGCACACCTGCAGTCCCAGCTACTCGGGAGGCTGAGGCAGGAGAATCGCTTGAACCCAGGAAGCAGAGGTTGCAGTGAGTCAAGATTGCACCATGGGACTCCAGCCTGGGGGGACAGAGCGAGACTCTGTCTCAAAAAAAAAAAAAAAAAAGGTAAAATGAGTCATCAAGGTCAGACAGCAACTGATTCAGCAAATATTTACTGAGCACCTGGATGTGCCAGGCATGGTTCTAGGCACTGAAGAGAAGGCAATTAACAAAACAGACATGGTCTGCCCTCACAGGGATAACATTCCAGCAAGGAAGGCAGATAGTAAACAAATGCATTATATAATGCCAGGAAGAATAATAAAGCAGGATAAGGGACAGACACTCAGAGTGGCAAGGGCACAAAGCTGGAGCCAGGCTTAGAATTCACGTCTCTGACCTTCCAGGAGAGTGGCCACCCCGGGAGGGCATGGCCACTCTCCACACCCCTTTCTCCAAAATTCACCCTATTCATCTCTTCATCTGTATCCTAGATAATATCCTTTATAATACACCAATAAACTAAAAAAAAGAATTTTGATCTCCCTACTCTGGTCCAAAGACGACTTCTTTCATAACTCAACTGCCTTACAGACTAGGTGCAGAAATACCAATGATAAAAGTAGTATGGGCATGGCGGCTCACACCTGTAATTCTAGCACTTTGGGAGGTCAAGGAGGGCAGATCACCTGAGATCAGGAGTTCAAGACAAGCCTGGCCAATATGGTGAAACCCCATCTCTACTAAAAATACAAAAATCAGCCAGGTGTGGTGGCAGGCACTTATAATCCCAGCTACTTGGGAAGCTGAGGCAGGAGGATCGCTTGAACCTGCAAGGCAGAGGTTGCAATAAGCTGAGATTGCACCACTGCATTCCAGCCAGGGCAACATGAGTGAAACTCTGTCTCCAGTAAAAAAGAAAGTAGCATGGGGCAAAAAATATTAAGGCACTAATTGCTCTGGCCATTCGGAGGAAAGAACAAACTGTTTCAGTGTGAGGAAACTAAGGAAGGTTCCATGGCAGAGGTGGTAGCTGAGCTGAATTAACATAAAGGAGTGGAACATAAGCTCTGCGCAGTGGCAGTATTGCAGCCAATGAGGTTTATCCGAGGCATGATTATTCCTAACTGAAAACTTTTCCCAATACCCCGCCATGACGACTTACAATATAGTTGGCATTGTCAATTTTTAAGTCTCTACAGAGACTTTAAAAAAAAAAAAAAAAAAAGAAGAAAAATAATTCTGACTGGGGATAAAGGTGAGAACATTTCTCCACCCCATCAGCCTCTCTCTTGTTCACTGTTTATTTATTTATTTATTTTTCTTTTCTTTTTTTAAAAAGAGATGGGGTCTTGCTATGTTGCCCAGGCTGGAGTGCAGTGGCTATTCACAGGCGCGATCCCACTACTGATCAGCACGGGAGTTTTGACCTGTTTTGCTTCCGACCTGGGCAGGTTCACCCCTCCTTAGGCAACCTGGTGGTCCCCTGCTCCCGGGAGGTCACCTTATTGATGCCAAACTTAGTGCTGACACCCAATCAGCATAGTGCACTACAGCCTAGAACTCCCGGACTCAAGCAATCCTCCAGCCTCAGCCTCCCAAGTAGCTGGGACTACAGGCACATGCCACTGCGCCTGGCCCTATTTGATATTTTCTTAACAGTCCTTAGGATTTCCCGACATTCTCTGGTTTATCTGTTTGTTGTCTGCACAGATCTGGCCTGTTTTCTTCATCACTGCATCTCTATACAGCACTGTTTACCTTTCCGGATGATGGAAATAATTCTAACTGCAATGTCTGGTATGGTAGCCCCCAGACATGTGTGGCTATTGGGCACCTGAAGCATAGCTAGTGCAACTCAGGAAGTGGATTTTTAATTTAAATGTAAATTTCAATAGCCACCTGTAGCTCTAGAACCCAGAACAGTGCCTGATATACAGACGTTCCTCAATAAGTATTTGTGGATTCAGGAAGAGAGTGAATGAACATACTCTGGAAAGGGGATAATATAAGCAAATGCAGAATGGCAGAAAACCCAAAAAGGTATCTGGGAGATAGTGCAGTCAGTTCATAGACACGTGCAGGGAAGTGGCAGGACATAGAGCTGCAAGGGGCAGAGCCTGATGGGGACTTGGGTGCTCTGCTGCAGAGTTACCACTGTGGACAGTGGGCTGGCACTGAGGATTTTTAAAGCAGTGAATCCCATATGAGCACAACTGTCATTTGGGAATACTCATCTAGAGGCCATGTGTGGGAGGAATTAGAGGGCCTGGGGATCACTGCCTGTGAACTGGTGTGCTGGTGGCATGATCAGCAAGGCAGGGTTGAGGTAAGGAGGACCCAGTCTTCGAGACGTGAGTCAGGAGCTTTAGGATTTCAGGGTAAAAGGAGGATCTCAGAACCCCAGGGGCTGCGATTAGGAAGTCCCTCTCATCTTCCCGAGTGTTTCCCTTGTCAGTGTCCTGTAGTCAATGCTGAAAGTTATGATGCTTACAGTGCTGCTCAGGCCACTCTGATTGTGGACAGATAAGCCTAAAGGTCTTTCTTTAATATACCACAACAAAAGGCTGATCATGTCACAAGTTTCCAAGTAACTCCTGTCATGACAGCTGAAGGATGAAGGCCATAAGTGTTTTCAAGAAATTTAAGAGCACCAAGAATAACTGTCATAATGGACTTATGGATTTGAGTCCAAATGGTATTGATTTCAAAGTTTCCCTTGTACTGACAGCCCTAGAAAGCATGGATTCACTGGGCTTATTCCATGCCCACGGTGCATGATGTCGGTATGGCTGGGGAATTCATCTCGACAGTCAAATGAATCAAGGTGACATAAAAAAATAGGCCCTGAAATGGGAGTGATGACATTTTAAATACATGGTGTCAGGAAAACCAAAAACCTGTCACCAAGCATTTAGCATTGCCTTTCTTCTTGGTCTTATCTTCTGGGGCCTCAAACAATGAAACTGTGTTAATGGGAGGTCCTCACAGAGCAAGCATGCCACTGGCTGGTTTCAGAGATGCGTTGCCAAGTGGTGGAACACAGAACTGGAAAGGTAGGATGGGTTAGATTTAGGAGGCTTAAACAAAGACATCTAGCTTTGATGTGGCAGGCAGCAAGGAGCCAATGATTATTTTTGAGCACAGAAATGAAGTAAGTTCTGTAAAAAAATGAAAGAATACAAACAAGATAAAAAACTTAAGTCAGTTCACGATCATATGATGCTGGTTGCTAGGCATTTTGGCAAAGTTCTCCAAAGGTAACAAATTTCACAGGCAACAGTTCTTTGGAGCTGACCCGTTTTTGGTAGCAACCATATCCTTGATTGATAGAAACCATGCCCAGGGCAAATATTTTCTCTGACAGGAAGAGAGTGGGGCTGCTTAAATAGCTTTTGCATTGAATCTGTCTGATAACCAGTTACTGTCGGTTCCTCTGCACAGGGGTTGGCAGGTATTAGCAAGTTTAGGCTTCTGTCTCTGAAAGTAACAACTCTGAACTCTTTTGGAGGTCACAGACTCTTTTAAGAATCTGATAGCTGGGTATAGTGGCTCACGCCTGTAATCCCAGCACTAAGGCAGGTAGATCACTTGAGGTCATGAGTTTGAGACCAGCCTGGCCAACATGACAAAACCCCAACTCTGCTAAAAATACAAAAATTAGGCCAGGCGTGATGGCTCATGCCTGTAATCCCAGCACTTTGGGAGGCTAAGGTGGGTGGATTGCCTCAGCTCGGAAGTTCGAGACCATCCTGGCTAGCATGGTGAAACCCCGTCTCTACCAAAAATACAAAAAATTAGTCGGGTGCGGTGGCGTGTGCTTGTAGTCCCAGCTACTCAGCAGGCTGAGGCAAGAGAATCACTTGAACCCAGGAGGCGGAGGTTGCAGTGAGCCGAGGTCATGCCAGTGCATACCAGCTTGGGCGACAGAACGGACTCTGTCTCAAAAAAAAAAAAAAAAAAAAAAAAATTAACCGGGTGTGGCAGTGCATGCCTGTAATCCCAGATACTCAGGAGGCTCAAGCAGGAAAATCACTTGAACCCGGGAGGTGGAGGTTGCAGTGGGCCAAGATCGTACCATTGCACTACAGTTTGGGCAACAAGAGTGAGGCTCTATCTCAAAAAAAAAAAAAAAAAAAAAAAAAAAAAAGAATCTGATAAAAGCTAAGAACCCTGTGTCCAGAAAAACGGATGTGCATATTTTTGCATCCAACCCCAGCTGTGGACTACAGATTTACAGCTCTGCTACTAGATGTTTCTTTCAGGCTCTGAGCCTCAAGAGTAAAGACTCAGAATGTGGCTAATGTGGGGGAGGGAGCAGAATGGACCTTGGTCTGTGCCATTCCTGTGCATGCTAAGACAGCGTGAGCCAGAGAGGGCTGATCTTGAGCTTAGGACTCATTTATGTTCTCTCTGTCTCATCATAAACTGGCTGTTGCTTTATACAAATCTTTTCGTCCTTCCATGCTTCTCCTTTCCAAGCTGTCACACAATAGTAAGACTTGCTGCTTTATTGTATCTGTCATTCTGGGTAGCAAAGGGCTTTAATAAGGCCTCCTTTCCAAAGGAAATTGAAAGCCTAAGATGTGCTAGTAGAGCAATGCTGGCAGGCTGGGAGGACTGGCGCCCACTCATGCTGCAGGCCTCTGCTCAGAGAAGCAGTCTGGTGCCTGGCACAGATGGTGCTGTTGGTTCTGCAGCAGATGCAAGCCAAGCTTGACACTCAGTAGGCTCCCAAGCAGCTGGGCAGTGCTCTGGGGGAAAGAATGCTAGGTGACAGCTGGGCAGCCCAGCCTCTATCCTAGCTCAGGCTGCTCAGAGTATGTCCCTGAGTAAGAAATGGTTTCAGAACCTTCTAGGAGGAACTTTCCTTAAAGGAGGAGTTTTCCTTCTATATAGACACTGGAGGAAAAATCTCTAGCTAGAGGCCTATTATATTGTGGCTTAGCAGTCATAATGTAATCTCTTGAGATAAACCAACCCAGCTCGTGAGCTGTGGGCTACCTACCAGGAAGGACAGCTTCGCTTCATCAGTACTCTCGATGCCTTTTGTGTCAAATTTGCCCTGCTGGAGGCTGCTGTGCATAATGTTCACAGCACTTGTCACCCCGCGCTGGATGTCCTGGAAGGTGGTTGCCGGGAAGCCCATCCGCAGCTTGTTGCACAGAACATCCCTGGGGGGCAGGAAGGAATAGAGGGATTGACACTACTCAACTTGGCCTCCAGGACAGAAGGGCCAGAGCGTCCACCACCCTGACCCAGCAGCACAACGTACTCTTTTAGGGGGAATAACCAGTCCTTGAGACCACTGTAGGAGACCTGAGGAGCCAGGGTATGAAAGTGACCAGCACCCACTCAAGGATACTGATGTGACAAGAACATACAGAGGAGACTGGCCAATCTCTACTGTTTATGAGGCTTTTAGCCATCACCACTGCACTCCAACAAACAAAGCCGTGAGGCTTAGTGAAGGCAGTACTACGTAGGAGTTGAGAACAGGTTTTGAGTTACTCAGCTTTGAATTCCACCTCTTACTAAGTGGTGGATCTTTGACGAGGATGGAATCTCCCTAAAGCCCAGTTTCCTCATCTATAAAACAGAGCTAATAGTTCCTACCTCATAGGGTTGTTAGTAGGACCTCAAAAGAGGAGGAGAATAGCATAGTGCTCGGCCTGTAGCAATGGTACCTACTACAACTACTGCTTTCATCTGAACTGCCTGTTCTCTTTCCTACATCTAAGGGCTCATAGCCCCTTCAGTCTAGTCCAGAGAACAGAAATTTGGCCCACAAGATATCTGGCTGATCAATAGCTTCCTGGAGCCAAGGATACTGTTTTAGGGACAGGAGCTTATGTCCTATATAGAACTGAACTAGAATCATGAGGACAAAGGGCAGAAACAAACGGGCCTCAGGAATCAACAAGGGCCTTTCTGCCTGGAAAGGAGAAAGGGAGTCAACTGTACCTGAAGTCAGACTCCAGCTCTGTGGTGGCGAGGTTGATCATGGCACAGAGACAGTCGATGCTAGAGCTGGACAGAGCCCGCCCAATGCACTTCTTAACAATGTAGAAGACATCATCCACCATGCTGGATGTCAACTGGCCCTTCTCATAGGTGTCCAGAGCCACAGCCTACCCAAAAGGCAAAGCCAACACTGAGGGTCCCAGTTCTACATGTCACATTCTACATAATTCTGGGTACACTG